TTAAACGTGTCTGTCCTGACAGGTGAAGCAGGTGTAATTCATGAAAACCTTAGGCTTCACGAGGTCTCCCAATGTACCTGTTGTTGCAAGAAGTCAGATTTATTGCTTGAAAAAGGTAAGATGAAATACATCTACTTAGTCAAAACAAAGAGACTTCTCCCAAAAAACAGCTTTCCAATGTATAAAATTCTAAAATACAAAAATGTCAATCGATTGAAAATCTATAAACATGTAATCCTAAAAACAAAACAAAAACAAAGAGCTTAGAAAGGAACCTAGACTCGTGGCTCAGCGGTTGAGCATTGACCTATGATCCAGGAGATCAAGGTTTGATTCCCGGTTAGGGCACATCCCCAGTAGGGGGCAAGCAGGAAGCAACCGATCAATGACTCTCATCATTGGTGTTTCTCTCTCCCTCTCTCTGAAATCAATAAAGAGACTTTATATATATATCTCCCTGATTTCAGTGTTGATTCTCTGGTTTGGGAATCTGAGCTGTTGTTACTATTTTACTCCCCCGATTTCAGTTACTACAATTAACAGTGATGGCACCAGATAGAAGGTAAATGACAACCAGGTCATTCTTCTGGTAAACTGGTCTGATAACACCATGCAGGCTTTTTTTTTTTTTTTGCAGGGGATGTTGGGGGATGGAGTTGGGGGAGGATTTGCACCCCCAGGCTAAAATAAGGCTTGCAGGTAATCTGTGGACTCAGTGATTTACTCATGTTGAGGGACCTGGAGTCCATAGATTCAAAGGGAGCAAAAAATGGGCTTCGGGGGTGATGTGAGGACCTTGGAAAGTGCTGGAATAATGTTGTAGTGTATGGATTTTTTCCTAGGGAGAACCCCCATGGCTTTCATGGGTCCCTCAAAGTTTTTATGTCTTCATGCCTCTCCAGGCCTTAGAACCTACTCTGGTTTCCAGTTCCCTAGTGAGTTGGCGGCTTCCTTTCACGAGGTTCTCCCATCCACTTAAACTGCCCTTGGGGATTTTCTTATTCTTTGTGTTTTCTTACAAGATTTGAGCTCTGGAGGCTCTGTTCCCACCCTCAGCTCGTGTTCCCTTTTAGTTACATCATAGGTTTTGCAGAGAACCTCTGCTCCCCAGTGATGTAAACCTACTGCGTGGCCAAGAAAGTGTGTGGGTTTTTTCTCTTTTGTGCACATTTTCTGGGGAGAAATGTTCCCCAAATATTCTGAGACCACCGGCTGAGCAAGAACCAGCTAGTCAAACAAGGACTTAAAGATGAACCTGAGTTCGATTTCATTTTTAAAAGAAACCACCTTTATTTTCTCTTCTCATCAAAGCCATTTCTCTAAAACAACTCTTTTTTTCTGTTATAAAAACTCCTCCAAATCAGTGCTGCATCTTGGTATCTGACCAGTGATGAATTTGCCCATGCTCTCACTGTCTGGCAATATCTGTGATTTTTTTCACTTTTGATTACTTAAGAAATAAAAGCTGTGATCTTGGCAGTTTCTCAAAAAGTTAAACAAAAGCTTGCCATGTGACCAAACTATTCCAATCTCAGTTATATACCCAAGAGAACTGAAAACATATGTTCACCCAAAAACTTGTACACAAATGTTTATATCATTCATAATGGCCCAAAAGTTGAGCAACCCAAATGTATATCAACTGATAAATGGATAAACAAAAGGTGGTATATCCATACAGTGGTATATTATTCAGGCATAAAAAGGAATGATCCGCGCTACAACACAGATGAACCTTGAAAACACCGTGGTAAGTGAAAGAAGCCAAACACAAGGGGCGACATAGTGTATGATTCCATTTATATGAAGAGTGCAGAATAGGCAAATCCTTCGGCAGAAATCAGAAACAGAAAGTAAATTTGTTGTTTCAAGGGGATGGGAGATGGGAGAATTGGTAGTGACTCTAGATATGGAGTTTCTTTTTGGAATCATGGAAATGTTCTGGATTTAGTGGTGATGTTGGCAGAACATTGCCAATATACTAAAAACCACTGAACTATACACTTTAAAATGGTAATGGTGAATTTCTAGCTTTTAGAAAGTAACCCAGTGATCTTTGAGATGGTAAGAGAAAGATAAAGGTATTAGACTATTCCTGTGCTATTCGGGGAATATGAAATTTGGGGTGCATTCAGGTGGGACCTTCTGAAATCTTCAGGACCTCGTTTTAAAACTCTTCACACATGAGAATCTCCTACATAGACAACATTCCACACACCTTGCGGGTTGCCAGCTTCCCAGGCCTGCACTCCATGCCCACCAGGAGCCTGTGGCCCACAGTTTGGAGCCCTGGAGTGATTACATCAGCAAGCTGATCTCCCCTGCCACCACCCAGACATAACCTGTGTGTTGTGTGACCATATGGTGCTGTTGTTTTGCTTTTAAGTATATAAAAAAGCTGAAGCAATTGTACCCATCCACTTTTATCCCTGTGAATCCACCCGTCCCAGTGTCATCTGCTCAGCTGACAATGCCAAGCATCCAGGCACCCATCATACATTTACGTAGGCAAATAACCAGGACAACTGCTGAAACAATGGAATCCTCTTGATTTTACTGGTTAGAGTTGAGCTGCCAAAGGTACTGGGTTTTCATACACAGTATTAGCCAACTAGTTTGTGATCAGACTTCCAGTGACATCCACCTTCTGAAACATCTGTGAACCCAGGGGGACGCGGGGAAGAAGCAGGAGACGCGGAGCCTCCTGAAAACAGCGGCCAAAAAGCCCATGCATCCCTCCTCAAGAAGCAGAGCTGACCTGACACCGTGTAACGCTGGGGCTCCTGCCTCCCCCAGAAAACTTCCTTTTTGCAGGGAGGTTTCCATCAGAGAGCAGGAGGCAGAGAGCAGAAGACTCAGAAAGCGGGGAGGAGAGGAGGAGGGAGCTGGGTTGGCGAGAGCCCACAAGCTCAGACACAGAGGCTCCCCCATATGGCACAGGAACACATTTTGCATCACCGTGTGCACGAGATAAAGAACTGCAAAAGCTGTTTTTAAAAGTACAGCCAGGGGTCATGTAGTACGGGGGTTAAAAGGTCCCAAATACCCCAATTGCCCCCAGCAGTAGAAGCCATCAATGAGACGAACACAGTAGACTGGGAAAGGCAAAGCCAAATCCCACACATTTGGTAGCTTCTGATAACATTACCGCACCATGTCAGGTACAAAAGGGGCTGTTGTTTATAATGATGACCATGACTCTTCAAGAAAAGGTTAAATACTCTCCGGTGTACTCTGTGTACTAAGGCAGGGAAGTGTGTAATACATTTTAGAAAGATTTCCCTCAAAAAAATATTAATATTTTAAAGATTCAGCACTTCAGGGGTTAATCCTCTGTTATCTGAATATTTGCTTACATGCCTCATTTTGCAACAACGCTAGTAAATGAGGCATTGCTCTTTTTAAATAATCATTAGTATCAAATTATTGGCACCATTCAGTGTTAAGTATAGGGACAGGAGAGCAGACTATACAATACAACATAAAAATACAGTTCTGATACAAATATATGCGATCAATTCCACTTAATAAGTGGTCTTAAGAAATGAACGGACAATTTACACACAAGGAAGTACAGCTAGTAAATCATCACATGGAAAAGTGCTCGGCCTTGCTAGCAATTAATGAAATAAAACAACCTTTCAAGAACAATTATACACACCTATTTCACTAGCAAAAATAAATAAAAATGGCAAAACCCAATACTGGCAGAGCTATTGGTAAATAGAAATGCTTATACATTGCTGGTGGCATCATAAATTGTAGAAGGAATTCAAGCATTCAGAGGGAATAGGGGGGGTTGAATTAGATGACTTTTAAGGTCCTTCCAACCCAGAAATTGGATCTTTCTAGAAAGCAATCTGGCAATAAAGCAAGAGTTATACAATACTTCATGCTCTTTGACCTTGCAATCCCTCTTTGGAGATATTCCCAAGGGAAGAATCCAAGAGAAGGATAATTTTTTACAAAGACATTCATAGCAGCACTATTTATAAGAGTGAAAACTTGGATATAACTCAAATATCTAATAATGGGGAGAAGTGAGGTTAACCATGTTATATGGATATAAAGACATTTAAATGGGTAGAGAGCAGGATCTTTGTTGAAAAGAGAAGATATGTGGTAGGTAGAGAAGTACAACCAAAGAGTACATACACACCGATCATACCTGTGTAAAAAAGGCGTGCGTGTTCATTGAGAAAGCGTGGGAAACAATTTGGAGGGCTAGTTTGTGGTTAGGGGGTTCCTTTATTCCTGCAAAGTTGTTCAAGTGCATAATAAAAATTTAAAAACACATTTCTTGAAACTTATAAAAAGAGAGCAGAGTTTCTTCTGGTCGAGGTTCTAGCAACAGGATAGGAATTGATCAACTTTAGAAATAATTTTCCTTTATGGAACACCCAAATGAATCCCGACATTGAATCATCTTAACTTTGTCAGATATTTTTAGAATTCAAGCTATAATTTCCTACTTTGGGTTCAATGATAAATTATATGCATCCATATCATCTCTAACAAAGTCACACGTGAACTTATGTTTCAGATTAAGCTGAAGTACCTTACGTCCTGGTGATTGCAACTTCCCTTTCTAGTTCATCTACTCGTGTCTGAATAAAAATGAATGTTAAAGACTTTAAAAGATCTGTGTATTTACCAGTGTAAATGAAAAAACCAGCAATAAAGAATTATTCTCTCGTTAAAAATGACTCTTTAACAAACAGTCAAAGCTTGGTGTAAGTTTCAATCATACAAAATCACATGGTTGAGACTGATAGCAAAGGATTCTGCGCCTTAGTAACCCCTGTGGTTATCAACGTGTACACACAGGTACTTCTGAAAAGGAATCCCCAGTTTTCCGCTTTTCTTCTCCAAGGCTTACAAATCCTGTCTCGACTACATGGAGTAGCAGAAACACTCTAATACTCAGGAGACATAAAAGAACTTTCCCGATAAAAGTCGAGCCAGATGTTGGCTTGACCTAACCCTGGGGACCTGGGCGAACAGAGCACACATTTGCATGTTGTGCTGGAGCGAGCACACAAGCCCGAAGAAGGAGAATGACAGAAGGCACCACGCCGTCCTCCAGGCAACAGGGGGAGAGTTCACAGTTCGGTCATCAACAGTCTTTTCATCATTTTCTCTCTCTCCAGTTCCTGCCGGAGCGTCTCTGCACTGAAAAGGAGTAGGCGACAAAGTAGTGAGATAGCCCCTCGAAAATCACAAGAGCAGACTCAGCTGAAGCTGCCTCCCAGATTCTTTCTTGGTTGTAGTTCTTGACTTTCTCTGACAGGCTCCTTCAGGAACCCCTACATTTGTCAGCATGACAGTGTCCTGAAATTGTCCTGCTACTTACTGGCTTCCCCCACCAGACTTGGACCTCCTCCAGGCACTGCTCCTCAGGGGACTGACTGTGTATGTGTCATTCACCTCTGACCCCCCAGAGCCTAGCACAGGAGCTGGTACATAGCAGCCTCTCAGCAAAGGTCTTTTGAGTGATTGGGAAGATATCCGGAGGTTAGATTTCTTTAAATCATGTTTTCAATTGGTCTCGTATGCACTTTCTCCTAGAATTCCCTCCTATGTTTTAATAAACACAATTGAATTAAAATTGGCTGCTTTAAGAGATTGCTTCCTGGCCCTCAGGACCAGTTGCCTATCTATGGAACCTGCCTCCACTGTTTATACACACACACACACACACACACACACACACACTCATTCAACACTAAATTTAGTAAAGGTAGGACTTTTATGTTTTGCTCACTGCACATCCCTAGCACCTAGAGTACTGGTTAGCCTTTGAAGACATTTCAATAAATAATGAATGAATGAATGAATGAATGAGAGGGCTGCAGACATCACAACCACAATGACCCTAAAGCCTGTGCCTGCTTTCCTTGACCTACCTGGCTGCCAGAGAAACAGGCTTCCGAGTGGTGTAGATGGTCTGCACTGTGGAGATGGTCTCTGTCAAAGGCCTCAGGGTCACTGCTGGGATCAGCGGGGAAGACTGGCCAGGGCAGCACTGTAATTTACTGTCTCTAAAGTCTGCCTGGAGAGGAAACAGAAAAGAGGAAATCGATTTCAATTTGGGCTCCGTTTTCACACTGTCAGCTGCTCCCTAAGCCTTACCATACAATTCCTGTTACTTTTCAATAATAGCTAAACTCAATTGGCATTTAGTAAATGGTTTTACTTTGTGCCAGACACTATGCAAAGTACCTTACATACATTACCTCCTGACAATACTTTAAGGCACAGATCATATTTTATCACATCTTTGACCCCATCATTAAAAGATGCACCATTTTTGCATGTGCCACAGAGAAAGAAAAATGTGGCCATTCAAACTTTGTCACACCCACTATTGTAATAAGTTTCTGATTTCAGAGATGTTAAAAGGTGGGGAAAAAAAGTACATCTTAGAATTTATTTTATGGAAAAGGAAAGTGAGAGTGAGGCTCAGAGAGGTTAAGAATCTTCCCAAGGTCACACAGGGTACATTAAGAGCCAGTATTTAGAACCAGGATTAGCTGACTCGGAAACTGGTATTTTCACCACTATAGCAATGGTTTCCAAAGTATGGTCCCCAGACTAGCAGCATCAGTATGATCTTGAAACTTGGTAAAAATGCAAATTCTCAGGCCCCACCAAACACCTTTGGAAACAGAATGTCTGGGAAGTCCAGCAATCTGCCTTTTTACAAGACCTCTAGATGATTCTGAAACAAGATAAAGCTTGAGAACTACTGGTCTAGAGGACACTGCCTCATTTGGAGAAAATAACTATTGTTGTTTGCATTACAAAGCATGATATGCTCATTACTTTTATGTAGAAAACTTAGTATACAAAAGCAAACAAATGAAACCTTAGCCTGTGTGGCTCAGTGGTTAGAGCATCAGTCTGCACACCAAAGCATCTGGGGTTTGACTCCTGGTCAAGGGCACGTACCTGGGTTGCAGATTCATTGCTTGTGGGACATGCAGGAGGCAACCAATCGATGTGTCTCTCTCACATCGATGCTTCTCTTTCTCTCTGCCCCTCCCTCCCTCCCACTCTATCTGAAATCAATGAAAAAATATCGAGTGAGATTTAACCAAAAAATAAATAAATAAAACTGCTCTGGGTCAAGCTCTCTGCCCTTGAACTACTATCCTAAATTTTTAAACTACTGTTCTGAATCCATTCTCCCTGTCACAGGGAACATTTCCAGGTGCATCTGCCCTGTCACTGTCCTGTTAAAGTCCTTCAAAGGCTTCCCATTGCTCTTAGGACAAACATCAGAATCCCCACTGTGGCCTGCAAGGCCAAGTATCGTTTTTGCCCCTTCAGTGTTTGTTCCTTCCTCCCCTTCCTCTTCTCATGCCCCACTCCTTTGCTCTGCATTTTAGTCCCTCTGGCTTTCATTCCAGCCCCTTGAACATGGCATGATCCCTCCTGCCCCACAATCATGCTGTTCCCTCTGCCTCCTCCAGCTGCCTTCGAGCCACTCTTGCCCAGTTCTTAAAAGTTCCAGTGTGGTTTCTGACATTGGTTTCCTGCTCCATCTTGGCCTCCAGCTTTTCAGGAAGGGCTTCCCTGGGTGTCTCACATCACTGCCAAGGCCGGGCGGGAGGCCAGAGTGCCCATTAGGGCCAGCTGAGAGCAGAGGAGCCAGAGTTTCCAGCTGGGGAACTGTGCCTAGCAAAACTGCAGGGGTGGGATGAACATTGGAGCGGGAGCATTTAACAGCCTGGCCCCGGCCCTGTGTCTCAGCGCTCTGGTTCTTAAAGGGCAGGTGTTAGAAGGAGCTCATGATCCTAGAGATGGATGTTCTGGGAGCCTGTTTTTACCTCTGCCCATGCTCTGAAACCTGACTCAGCCACTGCACAGCCCCTCCCTCTCCATGGGACTCAAACCACCTCAGGTGGTGACCATCTTCCAGCTCACGAGGCTCACTCACTTCACAGATCCTCCAGGTTGGCCAGAAACCCTTCGGAAGGAGCCTCAGGAATCATTTGGTTCAGGGAATTACCAACTGTGATCCCTGGGAGGAAGAGAGGGTGAGGGGAAAAGAGGAGGGACCCTGGACTCTCCGCTTGAGCCCCAGACAGCCCATGACAGTGAGCTCCTGCAGAAGTGTTCATTTAAGCAAAAGAATCGAGCAGCCGAAAAGATGCCTGAAAAGCATCGCACACTCTCGTTCGGCAGATGAGGAAACTACAACACTTAAATGTTAAAAAAACCAAAACATTTGAACTGTTTGCAGCGAGTTTCAATAAGCTGCCCAGCAACACAGAGAGAGGAGAAGCCTGTTGTCAGGACTAGCGCTCTTGTCATTACCCCGCCTGCCTGTCCAGCCTTGAGAGGCAACAATCATGCTTGACATTTGTGTGAGGGTCTGTGGCCAGTAAAGTACTTTCGAGTTCTTCATTCCTTTTGTTTCTTGCCTCAACTGAATACAAGGAGGATATTCTTATTACTGTGTCCACTTTCAATAAGAGAAGACTGGTGTTCAGAGTGGTCAAGCGACTGACCTAAAATCACACCATTATCAAGACACAGATTCAACCCAAAAGAACAAAAACCCGGGACTCAAACAAATACCATGTCTACGCATGTTCATAGCATCACTATTTATAATAGCCAAAAGGTGGAAACAGCCCAAATACCCATCAATGAATGAATGGGTCAATAAATTGCTATATATACATACAATGGAATATTATTCCGCCATACACAGAAATGAAGTACTGATACATGCTGCTATGTGCACGAGTCTCAGAAACGTTATACAGAGTGAAAGAAGCCAGCACAAAGGTCACATGTTGTATTACTCCATTTATACGAAATATCCAAACTAGGTAAATCCAGAGACGGAATGTAGATTGGTGGCTGCCAGGGGCCAGAGGGAGGCAGGAAATGGGGAGTGACTGCTTAGTGGGTATGAGGTTTCCTTTGGGGGTGATAAAATATTTTGGAACTAGATAATGGTGATAGCTGCATGACTCTAAATGTACTAAACATCACTGAGTTGTCATTTTAAAATGGTTAATTTTGCCCTGGCCAGTGTGGCTCCGTGGTTAGAACACCAACCTGTGCGCTGAAGCGTCCCCAGTTCAATTCCCTGTCAAGGGCTCATATCTAGGTTGCAGATTCGCTCTGCTGACCCAGTCGGGGCGTGTGCAANAGCCCAAATACCCATCAATGAATGAATGGGTCAATAAATTGCTATATATACATACAATGGAATATTATTCCGCCATACACAGAAATGAAGTACTGATACATGCTGCTATGTGCACGAGTCTCAGAAACGTTATACAGAGTGAAAGAAGCCAGCACAAAGGTCACATGTTGTATTACTCCATTTATACGAAATATCCAAACTAGGTAAATCCAGAGACGGAATGTAGATTGGTGGCTGCCAGGGGCCAGAGGGAGGCAGGAAATGGGGAGTGACTGCTTAGTGGGTATGAGGTTTCCTTTGGGGGTGATAAAATATTTTGGAACTAGATAATGGTGATAGCTGCATGACTCTAAATGTACTAAACATCACTGAGTTGTCATTTTAAAATGTTTAATTTTGCCCTGGCCAGTGTGGCTCCGTGGTTAGAACACCAACCTGTGCGCTGAAGGGTCCCCAGTTCAATTCCCTGTCAAGGGCTCATATCTAGGTTGCAGATTCGCTCTGCTGACCCAGTCGGGGCGCGTGCAAGAGGCAACCAATCAATGTGTCTCTCACATCCATGCTCTTCTCTCTCTCTCTCTTTCTCTCTCTCCCCCCTCCACTCTCTCTAAAAGTCAATGGAAAAATAAATAAATAAATAAATAAATAAAATGGTTACTTTTATGTCTGCAAAGCTCACCTCAATAAAATAACAGATGGAGATACCCCCCCAAACCCCATCTCCTTCCGAACTCACAGAGTTGACAGTGATAGAAAGAAGCTGTGGGCATGGCTGCCTGCATTGCAGCAGAGCATGACACCTGGGAACAATGCCTTTAAATGCAGACCAGTTTTCTGGATTAAGCTACTTACGGTAAACTGTGGCCCTGCAATGAAAGGCTCGGGAAACGGGGTCACTGTATCAACTGGGAATGTTTTTATCTTCAAAAAAGAAAGAAGACAAGAGTGTTACTTTCAGATTAGGAGACAAAGCTTCGCGATCTTTGGCAGTGTACTTTTAAAATCGAGCTGAAGGATTCGGGGGAACACACGCAGAGCCTTCATTGCTGTGTAAGGAAACACCGGGGAGGTCCCTCAGGAGTGTGGCCAGTGGTTGTATCTGTGCTGTCGTCGTACTATGGGCCAGGACTCAGCAGGGATGACAGGCTGCAGTCTCACATTTGGGGGACACCTCATGTTCACCTTGCCCTGGAACCCCCTTCACTGGGGTCTGCTTGGGCCTCCCAGGCATGCTGGGCCCTGTATGTGGCCTGATGCACTGGTCAGGGTGTACAGTGAGGCAGGCCAGGGCTGCCTGGGGTGGCTGCTGACAGCTTCTCCATGGCCGAAAAGAAAGGAATAGAGACTGATGAGAGGTGGCATCCTAGGACACCGTCTATCAGGGTGGACAGAGGAGTGACTTACCTAAGCTCACACCATTAGTCCAGACGTGGACCAACGAGGCCAGAAAGCATTCCCTATCTGTTCCCTTTAGTTGTTGTAAACTCTGGGCAACAGGAGGAGCCCACACAAGCAGGTGAGAATCCCACCACTGTGGCCTCTGGGGACAGAAGGCATGGGGATCAGAAGTGCCCAGCTCCAGGGATGGCCGCAGCACAGGGCCGGCCTGGAGGAGGGTGGACGCCCCAGTCTGATCAGGTAGTGGTCGGTGGCCAAAAAGAACCTTTGCTTTCATTTCTTTGTCTGGTCATTTCATCTTTGGCCCCCTGGAGTCCTTGGGGGAATGGGAGAACTAGAGAACTGCCATCAGGCCCAGGGACCTGCTGATTCTGGCACTAGCTCTGTCTGCAGCCCCCAGGGCACAGAAACTGCCTGCACACCTGCTGGGGGACGCACACTCTGCCACCCGCCACCGGAGGGTTGCGGCCGAGACACCAAAGCAGCCACTGCCCACTGGCAGCAGACTTTGTGTCCCTCAGGGTCTTGCCTATGGACGCTGGGACAGCTCTCTGATGCTCCTGAGCCACTTTAATGGGGAGTAAGGTGGGACTAAGCAAGAACACATTAGGCCAGACACAGATTCGCTAAGGTTTCTGAATGGGCAGGACAGGTCTCAATCGAACTGATCTGGGAATGACAATGTCCTTGCCATATGCTCTGAGAGGTCCAGTCCAAGCCTGCCCTCCTTCCCCACATTCTCTTCTGCCTCTTTAAGCATCTCCAAATTCTCAGAATGGACCCCACACTGCTTTAAGACTCAGTTGTCAACTGAGATTGCTGGTGGTGGCTGCCTGCAAGACAGCAAGGTTAGGACTGGGGCAAAGCCACATGCTGCATTCTCCCCACGTGGCCTAGGGGTTCCACATGGTGTTCTGAAACCAAGTGCCAAATAAAAAGTAGCATACAGATAAGACTCTCAGACCAGCATGAAGTGGAAAGGGAAAGAGGTTTATTATTACTATTAAAGAAATGTGAAAGTTGCACCTCCAAAGAATTATGTTGTAACTGCTCTAATTAAGACAAATATATTCCAACAGTTGTACTCTGTGTTGTTCGGTTGTGGCCAAGCATATCCATTCTCCCAAGGGTGCTGTCACTTGGTATAACCACTATAGCAAGGGAGCAAAGTCAAAGTCACAACACTGAACCTGGCAGGGTCTAGCCTGAGAATATGAAATGTCTGACACCAAAGGTGTTCCCTGGAAAAGTGACAAACTGGAAACCAAGCTCGTGTCCTGCAGTAAAGAATTGGTTAGGTAAACGGAGGGCCACTCACTTAATGGAACATAAACGGTCACAGAGAATGTGGTAACGAGAACATGATCGAAAGAACACAACATTGAGTGAAAAACAGGAGATGGCACGGATACTATGACTTAACTATGTAAAATTATGCACAGATAGGAATACGTATTAGCAGGAAACATGCAAAAATGAAAAATCAGTGTGCTAGGTTGGGGTTATGGGTGTTTCCTTTCAAGTCATTAAGTAATAGTACTCATATTATCTTGGTAAGTAGCAAGAAAGAGCAACTTTTAAAGGTTTTATTTACAATAGAAATGTAATTGAGAATTTTCTCTTGTGGGAGAAGCTTCTATGGTCATTGAAGCTCTAGGGAAACAAAGTCTTCCTGGGTCTTGAGACCTGGAGATGAAGGGGCGGGACCACAGCCCTGTGTCCCAGTTTGACCAGTGCCAGCGGGTCTCCCAACTCTGCTTCTATCCTGGAGCAAAAGCACCTGTCAGCCGGCCTCTTCTGGAGGCTCCTGCACACCCCTGCGGCCGCCTGGTGGCTCCTGCCCGCCTCGCCTCTCCTGGCCAGGCCCCTCTCCCTGCCAGGGTACCTACCAGCCTCGTTTTGATTGGAGGGTGCATGCAAACTCCAGTGGTCTCTTCCTTCATGGGGAGAGAGAGTGGAGGAGAGCTGCGAGAGTGGGCACAGTGGGGGGCGCTGGCGGGCTCTGCCTGCTCACGAGGAGAGGAGAGAAGGGGGGAGGAGGAGGGGGTAAGGGAGGGGG